CTAGTTCTGCAGCAGCAGCTCTGCAGCACCAGCCCTGCAGCAGCAGCCCTGCAGCAGCAGCCCTGCAGCACCAGCCCTGCAGGACCGGCCCTGCAGCAGCAGCCCTGCAGCACCAGCTCTGCAGGACCGGCCCTGCAGCAGCAGCCCTGCAGCAGCAGCCCTGCAGCACCAGCCCTGCGGGAGGGAGCCGGGCTGAGGCCGGGCTCGGTGCCGTCCTGCTGCCAGCGCCGGCAGCTCCTGGGAGGAGCGGCCCAGGAGCCCAGGGGACCTCCGGCAGCCGCCGGAGCTGCCAGGCTCAGCCGGGGTGATGGAGCGCTGCCAGACGGGAGCGAGACTGCGGCGCCCTTCTCAGCCTTCTCCCCACTGTCTCGGGGGCTGTTCAGCTGTTTTCACTGCAAAGGGCTGCGAGCTTTTCCCCTCAGCCCCTGCGAGTGGCCACTCCAGAGCCCTCCGCTCCAGGGGCCAGGCTGGGAGCTCAGGGGCCACGGGGCGCCGGCCTTGAGATGGAATTTCCAGTGGTCCTCCCAGAGGTAATTCACACCCTACAACAAACGGATGAAACGCCCAAGTGAGAAGGAAAAGTTCCCTGGGATTTAAAAAACCACTCAGTAACAGCAAGCGAGGGCAATACATTATTTAAAGGCTTTTCCCAGGAAGGAAAATAATTTCAGCTTAGTTAGCTTTTTAGGACATCCTAGCAGAGAGCAGGGGCGCAGCGCTGCGGGCAGCGGGGCGATGCACGGAGCCTGCGGCCAAAGGGCACCGGGACCGAGCCCCGCGGGGCCGGCCCGGCACCGGCGGCGCTGGAACAGCACGGGGAGACCCGGGGCCACCGTGACCAGATCACGGGGCAGACCCGGGGCCCACCGTGATCGGATCACGGAGCAGACCCGGGCCGCCGTGCCCGGCTCACGGAGACCCGGGCTGCAGTGCCCGGATCACGGGGCAGACCCGGGGCCCACCGTGACCGGATCACGGGGCAGTCCCGGGCCGCCGTGCCCGGCTCACGGGGCAGTCCCGGGCTGCAGTGCCCGGATCACGGGGCAGTCCCGGGCTGCAGTGCCCGGCTCACGGGGCAGTCCCGGGCCGCCGTGCCCGGCTCCCGGCAGGGCGCAGGGACAGCCCGGCGGGCGCTGAGGAAATGCGGTATGATGGAGGGTGCGGCACAGCAGCGCTGTGCTGCGGGCACGCTGATGAATTAGGTGTCAGTGGCGTTAATCCAGAGCCATTAGCCATGCTGAACGTCCGCGTATCATTTGTTAAACTAATGGATCGCTGGAGGTCATTCGGTAATAAGAAAGGGAGAGGAGGGTTATTAGTTTGTATCAGACATTAATTGGCCAAAATCGATTGCTTGTTGGGTGTCTGCAGTGCTCTGGGGGTGCTTCCCCCAGCAGCCCCCCGGCCGGCGGAGCGGCCCCGGCAGACCCGCAGCGCCCGGCCCGGGCCGGCAGAGCCCCGGCGGCAGCGGCGCCCCGGGCCGGAGCTGGGCCGGACCTCGGGCTGGACCTCGGGCTGGACCTGGGCCGGACTTCGGCCGGATCTCGCCCAGACCTTGGGCCGGAGCTGGGCCGGACCTCGGGCTGGACCTCGGGCTGGACCTGGGCCGGACTTCGGCCGGATCTCGCCCAGACCTTGGGCCGGAGCTGTGCCGGAGCCGGGCCGGACCTCGGGCCGCTGCCGTGGCGAGCCGCTCCGGCCGAGCGCTTCGCAGCAGCCCGTGCCGGGCACTGAGGAGGCGCCCGGGCCCCGGGGCAGCCAGCAGCCCCTGCCAGGGCACAGCGCACCCGCAGCCCCCCACCCTGCCCCAGCCCTCCAAGCTCCCCCGGCTGTGGCACGGAGAAGCAGAAATGAGCTGGGAACCACTCAGGTGATGTCACATCTATCCAACAAGTTTCCAAATGAAAACCAGCATTTGGACTTACTGCATTCAGGCTCAAAATTTGATTACATTTTTCTACAGCTGTAAATCTGCTTTCCTTTCTGCAACATTATTATTAAAGCCAGTATTGAATTGGTGGTGTGATACGTAAAATTTCAATCCTGGCTTTGACATTCCAGGAAGTTAAAAACCAATTACAGTGTGTGCTTTGCCTCAGGACAGAATGAATCATTGAACACAGCCACTTCACCGAGAGAAATTAAAGGCTGAAGCAGAACATGGGGAAGGTATTACGTTAAAAATCAAAGGTCAATTAAAGAAAAACTGAGTCTATTTTATTTTTACTATTTTGCTTACATTTTCATTCCTTTCTGATGAACAAGGAGACAAAATAAACCTGCACTTGTATTTATCTGCCAGGTAATAAATCCGGGCTGAAGCTGGTTTCAGGAGCTGAGAGGAAACACTGAGGTGATAAAAACTCCCAATAACAGCATTAATCTCACTGTAACGAAGCCAGCACAGCAACAGGGCAGCATCTGCCCTCCCTGCAGCGGCGGCTGCCCCCGGCAGAGCGAGGGCACCCAGGGGACAGTGGTCACCGTCACTGAGCCCACAGGCTCCCCTGTGGCCCAAGCGGGGCCGTGCCACGCGGGGACGGGCAGAGGGTGTGGAAGAGGGTGCAAGCTGGCACCGTGGAGTGCACAGGGCTTCGTGTCCCGCGGCCAGCCTTCCTGGGGACTGCGGAGCCCGCCGGGCCCTACAATACCAATCACTTCATAAATCAGTGAAGCACCTGCCCGCCGCCTCCCCGAGACCTGCCGGGGGGATGTCACAGCCCAGGAGCCCGTCCAGCCCGGAGGGAGCCGCCGCCAGGCTCCTCCTCAGCAGGCAGGACAGGAGCTCGGAGCCCGCGGGCAGCCCGGCGCACCCGGGCGGGGACGGGGACTCCCGGTGTCCGAGCCCCGGGCTGCCCCCGGCTGCGGCACGAGGCGCTGACCCCTCCTGCCGCACAACACATCGCCTGCGCTTGCCTCGCTCGGCAGCAGCTTGTCAGCGCAGATGCCTTCAGCATGAGCTCTAATAGATAACCCGCACCTCGAAATGCAGTCTATCATCTGCTCGTTACCCTCAATAAATCATTCGCAAAATGTTAAAATGCTTCAAGGCTGTCCTGGGGGCTCCAGGAATTGCGTTGCATGTGCGCACTCTGCCTGCTACCGGAGCAAGGGGATTCGGGGCAGCAGCCGCGGCCACGGCGTTATTCAGGCTGAGCACAGGGCTGGGGGCGAGCCCCCGGCCCGCATTCCACTGCCACGGCAATCTGACCCCGCTCTGGAAACTCAGCAAGGCTCTTGGGAAATGCACCCGCTCTCCAGGGAGCCGTTCTGCGAGATTAAAAACGGGAGCGTTCTGCGGAGTGCTCACATCCATGCAGAGACAGCGAGCTAATGTGTTCCCAGACAACTTAGACTCATTTCAATAAAGCCACAATTAGACGGCAGCAAATGGCGGGGAGAGCAGCTGTTACAGCACCGGGACACCCAGCACGACGTGACACAGCCAGGCAGGGACACGGGGCTGGCCGGGCTGGGAGCAGCGGGATGCTCAGGAGCTCCTGCTGAGGCTGGGGCTGGGCTGGGAGTGCCAGGTGCCTCCTTATCCCAGGAACCTGCTCCCAAGGACCCTACACCCCCAGAGCTGCAGGAACAGCCCAGCGGGATAAAGGCCCACAGCTCTGGGAATTCACAACCAGCCTCGATCCGCACAGCCACCGGCATCCATCACCAGGGGGCTGGGGGAGCTGAGCAAGGCCGTCAAAGAGCTGGGGAGGTGCCCAGCACCAGAGTCCTCCACTCCCAGTGGCCTCCTGCCACTGCAGCCCCAGCCCAGCCTGCTGCCCTCCAGCTCCTGCCACAGCAGGGAGACCAAGCTCCAGGCAGGAGGGGACACATTACGGTCCCAGGACCTGTGGGGCCAGGGGACCCCAGTCAGACCCTCAAACCACTGTGTGAAGGGGCACAGGAGGCCAGAAAGGAGACCCCCACATCTTCAAAAGCCCCTCAGGCCTCCCCTGCCCACAAAGTAGGCCAGCCCAAGGGGCTTCTAATGGTCCCTTTTCCCCAACAGCCCGTTCCCCTGACCTGGGGACCCACTGTAAAATGGTAAATCCACCTTGGAATCAGCCAGAGGCTGATACTGCCATTTCTTATTAAAAGCTGGGTTTTTGCTCTACGATGAACTAGTTTTATGTTCCCATAAATTGCCAACAGTTAGCCAGATCCCCACAGAGCCAGGATCGATACCTGGCCGAGGGGAAAAAGTGCTGAGGAAGGAAAAGCAATACCCCAATTAGAGCAAAATTTAAGAGTGCAGGGGTAGGGTGACAGTGCCTAATGTGTTACAATTTATTGACAGCCTCCCAAAGCTTGGGTTTTGTTCTGGCCCTCAGAGGCAGGCAGGGGTCCCGCCAGGCAGCAGCAGAAGGAGTCGCACAGCCACTCTATTCACCCTCAGTCCTGACTGGCACAACCACTGACCATTGCTGTGTGGTTTGGCATGTCCAGCCACACACAGGGTGTTCTTGGCTCCCGGATTCATCCAGCAGCAGGGGAGCTCTGCTGGTGCCCCCTGAGCTGGCAGCAGCCACCCTACAGCCCACGGGACAGGTGACAGACCAGGCTCTGGGGACACAGGGACCAAGGGAACACCCGGCCCTTCCCCACCAGTGCTCCTCAGGGCCACCCCCCTCCCCAGGGTGTCAGAAACCTGAGCCCAGATCTGCAGTAGTCCAATCCCAGTTAAACACAGCATAATCCCAGCCCGGGAGGGGCATCTGGGAACCCCAGCCCTGGGCTCCCCTCCCGAGCCCACGCTAGGAAGGGGTCCTGCCCTGCCCGCCCCATGCCCCAGGTGCTGGCCACGGACCCTCAGAAGTGGGAGGCAGGAGCACCGATCACTCGGAGATCAAAGCTCTCAGGTGTTTTGCACAGACCTCGCACCCCGCTCCCAGGCAGGCTGGAGCACGGCAGTGGGCTCTCTGTTAAATCCTGTGGCCAGAAAAACCCAGCTGGATTGGAGAAATGTTGGCAAATATAATAAACACAAGTACATTAACTCTAATTCTGCGAAGCCTTCGGCTATATTAATCTCTCTTTAATGTAATCACCTATAAATAAATGATAACCCCATGATTTAATATGACATCTGCCATCCCCATTTCTACACAAGCTGTGAAGCAGTGCCTCTGGTACACGGTAGGGGTGGGACTCTGTGCATGACCAGCCAGGGCAGCAACCAGCGCCCAGGGGCTCAGCTCCAGCTCACCATCCCCAGCAGGATGGATGGGAACACAGACCAAGGCTCCATGGCAGGGGCCAGGCATCCCCCAAGGCCCCAGGACCCATGTGGGCAAGGGGTGATGTAGCACAGCTGCTGACAAACACACCATCAGCATTTCTACAACCACCGCCAGGCGGGGGGAGACCAGGACAACCCATCTAGGGATTTGGGGAACAGGGGGGAGTCACTGACAACCTTCCCTTTGGTGAGTGCTGAAGGGCATGGGGCACACACTGACACCACTGCTCAGCTGTGCAACAGTCCCCTCCTGCAAAAACATGCACAGAGAAGGAGAGCGAAAAAGAACCCTTGAGAATCAAAAATTGTGTTGAAAGGTGTGTGAAGCCCAAGCCAGCCCCTGATGCACTGATCCGAGGGCTCACTGGAGCAGAGGATCCGAGTCCACAGCAGAAAGGGCTGCAGGATCGGGGGGAACACATCATCTTCCATCCTTCCTCTCAGAGACCCTGGATGGCCAAAGCCTTCTGTGCCTCGTTTGCCTCGAGACTGGGCAGCCAGAGCAGCTCTCCCAGCCCAGGGTGGGTCACTGCAAACAAGCCCCAAGGACAGAGGCTTTCAATTCAGCACCCAGGAGAGGCAGCAGCCTGTCCTCCTCCTGCCTTGCTCCATCCTCATCCTGGCTGGGCCGAGGCGGGTGGCAGCAGGAGCAGCCCAGCCACGCTGTCCTCTGCGTCTGGAGCCACCGCTGCACACCCTGCTAAAGGAAAAACAGGCTTTCATTACACAGAGCTGGAGGAGCTTCAACCTCCAGTGCCTGGTGATGGCAGAAGGCCCTGAGGCCACCCTGGCCCTCAATACCTTTGGCCTGAGGGTCTCCTGGCCCCAAATGCCAGAGGACCTGGGTCCGTGTGTCCTTCCTGCCTGGAGCTTGGCCTCACTGCTGTGGGTGCCAGGGGACTGCTCTGGCACCAAGGAGCCCCTTCATGTGGGGGGCTGAGCCCCGACACGAGGCACGGGTGGGTGGGCAGGGAACACTGCCACTCTGCCTGAGCAGGTGCGAGCCCTGCACCGCCAAACCCCATCACGTCCCCCTGCCCGGCTCCCCCCAGACTCACCAGCAGGCTCGGGTGCAGGTCCCTCACCGCTCCCGAGCCCCGCAGCACCTGGGCTGACTCTGTGGAGAGAGAAGCATCAGGAAGAGCCCAGGGGAAGGAGGAGCCCCTGTCTCCCCTCCCCAGCACGCAGGCTGTGCCAAGCTGGCTCTGGGGTGGTTTCCCCAGAGGAGCCCTGGGGCACCCAGGGCCGTGCCCCCAGCCTGGGCCCGGAGCAGGGCAGGAACACGGCAAGGCTGAAGGCTGCAGCCTGGAAAAACGCTCACTCAGGCAGGATGCCTAGTAATAAATTTATTGTATTTTATTACATATTCCCCTTTTTGCACTTAATTCCAATTCCTCATATTCAAACTCTTCTTTCTGAAAGAAAATGATTTGTAACATAAAAATATAAATTCTGCATATTAAAAGTGCATACACCTCGAATAATAAAACATACAAATAAATAATAAAAGGCATTGACACAGTCTCATGCAGTTGTCCTCAAATAATTTAAAATTTATGGTACAATGTTCAACCCCAAGTAGACAGCCTGCTTTCCAATTACTGTACAGGTCAAAAACATTAAAATACAGAGGAGAATATCAAAGGTGTGGGAAAACCCCACGTCCCTGTACCAGGTACAGTGATGTGACATGCAGTTTGAGAACTGTAGATATTCCAGTGTAAAATCTGACATTGTGTCCAGAAGAGAAATTGCATTTGCAACAGGACTTAAAATTCAATTTTAACCAATGGTGAGGCACAGGTGGTGAGCAAATCTGTACAAACTCATACTTGGAAGGCCACAGGACGAAACAGAGCCACTGGTGGCCGGGATTCCCTGGTGTTACCCTACCCAAGGCAGTGCAGCACCTCCCAGGGGTTATTGCACTCACAAACAGCACACGAGCCTGCGGCCGGGCTGCAGGGCCCAGTGAGCCGGGACTGGTGGTTACACTTAGTTTTAATCTGTGTCTTTAAAAAAAACACTATTTGCAGATAAATTGAGTGCTATCACCTTTTAAAAAATAGAGTCCCTAAGCCTTTAGATCTAACACAGACATTGTACAAGCCTTCAGGTGCTTTTCTTTTACAAAACAAAGCTCTTAACAGTAACTGCTTTACGATGCTTTTGTTGAGAAAACCACGTAGGACTTTCATCTCACCACAGATTAAAACTAAATTTCAGTTCCCTCCACAGGTATCATTAGGTACTGCCAAATTCTTTTGGATTAGTAGGCATACAACAAAGATTTTAAAAAATCCAAACCAAACTAAAATGAAAAAAAAACCACAACCAAACAACACCCAACAGTGAAATTATCTGGAATGTTGTTTCCACACCCTCTCCACGCCAGCTGACCAAGGGGAGGGTACCAAAGCAGGAGGAGGCCTGGGAGCTGCAGGAAGCCCAGGCCAGCTGCCCTGGCCACGCAGCACACACGGCTGCCCCGGGCACCTGCTGGCCAACAGGGCACGGCCCCAGCGCCAGCACCAGCGCCAGTACCACGGGCTCTGGAGCACAACAGGCAGCCAGGGCTGCCCAGGAGGGCAGGCACAGCCCCAGGAGCAGTGTGGGCAGCAGCAGGCCAGCAGGAACCGCTCCCCTGGCACGGACACTCACAGCAGCTGCGCCCCCCGCCCCTCCCCACAGCCCCTCGCAGTGCACACAGCTACACACAGAGCCCAAGCAGGCTGCCCTGCTAACAAAATAAAAACAACACAAAATAGAAACCAGCCTGTTCTCATTTCCCTGCTCCAATCCCTCTAACCTTACGTTACGCTCCAGCCCGGTCAGTAACGCAGAGTCCTGCAAAGGAAAGAGTCAAAGATGTGCAAAGGAAGCAAGGAGCCAGGGACATGCTCCTGCGTGCCAGCAGCAGCTGCACCTCGAGGCACAGCTCAGCCTCCAAGCACGGCCACGGCTGGGCTAGAGGCTTGCATAGTTAGTAGGGACATGCATCGGGGACGGCACGGCCATGCAAGCTGCCTCGCACCGAGGAAAATGGTTGGGCATGCTCAAGTTTCAGCTTCAGAAAGCAAAACCCCTGCAGCGACGGCGGATGAGGGCACTTGCAGTGCGAGAAGTGCAATTAAGCTGCTAGCTTTCTATCCTAAGCATCTTGTTTTTATTAATTCGTATTTGATAAGTGTGAAAGGGTTAACAATTTACACACCCAAAGTGAGACACAAGTTACAGAGAACTGCAGGCACCAAATTGTCTATCAAATGTGATTAATACAAATAAAAGGTGCCTCTTCAATACACGTCATTGAAAATGTGCTTATAACTCGAATACTACTAAACACTGTCCAAAAGACACAGCCCAAAAAGGGTAAAAAAAAGTCTCTAGGTGACTCCTGTGGGAATTGAGCACTGGAACAAAGGCGCTGCCCTCCTGCACCCAGAGGGCCAGTTCCAGGAGCAGGAGCAAGTGGCAGACTAGGGACGTGGGGTGAAATGCAAGTCACACGCTGGCACAGGTGACTCCAACCCGCAGCTGACTGGAAACACTGCCTGAATGCCTGCTTTGCCTTGGAGCTCCCCTGTCTGGGAGCAGGGACTCTGCTGGGCCTCCCCCTTCCCAGGCATTTCCCATCACCACGAGGCATACCTTAGCCTCCAAGACCTTGGCAGGAAGGTGCCAGACCCCGCCATGCCCCGCCAGGTTGGGCAGGACAGACCTGGCAGCAGCTGTTCCCATCACACTCAGATGCCCATGAGACTTCCAGGCCCTACATGCCACCACTCAGGGGAGGCAGAGGTCACTGGGCAGCAGCAGCCTCTGGGAGATGGCAGAGCCCACCTCCCCCACAGCCATGAGTGCTTCGGATGGCCAACAGGACCTTTAAGACATGGCCATGTACATGCAGCTGCTCCAGAACAGCCTCAAGCCATTGCTGCTTGAAGGATCCATATGCAAAGCCACGGTGGTGTTGGCATCTAGGACTTGGCAGATCCCTCTCTGGAGTGTTCCCTGGTACCATGCCACATCCTGGCAGCTGGACAACACAATACCACGGACAGGAGCTCCTACACAGGAAAGGGACAAGAGAGAAGTCTGCTTTAAAGCAAGGAGAGAAGACTGATGATTCTTCCCCAGATCCCTTCAAGTAGGGCCTGTAATAACCTACAATCCATTTCAGAAACATTTATCCTACTTCATTGATGGAGTCATGACTGTAACAGCAACAAGGCTTTGATTAACACTCCCAGTGAATGGTGTTTCCCACACCCACACCCTTCAACCCTCGCCTGTGCAAGGAAGCTCATTTACTACTGTGTGGTGTGTGACACCACCACTGAGTGCCACACAAGATGTGTGACACCAACAGCAGAGATGTGGAGTGACAGAGTAGCTGTTCCCAAGGGCCCTGGCACAGGCACGGAGCAGGGACCCCACTCCCACAGGCTCATGCACACGCTTCCACATTCTGCCTGGAGTGTGTCCTATGTCCCACACGAACTCTGGTGCACCCTGGTAAGTCAAACCACTTTCCCTGAGGACATCCCAAGCCAAGTCCTCCTGAGCAGAAAAGCCACCAGAGAGGAGCAGCACCCCACCTGCTCAGAGATGGGGGTACTGTCAGTGCAGCCCCTCCTGCCTACTCACTCTCCTCTGCAGAGCAAGGAGCCTGTGCACAGAGCTGCTGCTCCAGAGGGACAGAGAAATCCAGTTTGGCTGCATAAAGAGAGCAGATAGTGCTGGAGCTGGCAGCAATCAGCATCAGGAATTATGGAGAATGTGCAGCAGAAGAGTGAGATTGGCATCTCATGGGATTGCAGCGGTTTAGTTACTTTTATCAGCTGCTGGAATACCAAGACCTCTATCTCCCTTCTACCCAAAGGAGAGCTCCAAAGACCATTGTCTTGCTACAGATACAAACACTGAACTGGTGTTCAGCTAAAACATGGGTTTGGACATGGCTTCAAATTCCCTTCAGTCAGGCATGTAGCACAGGAGCAAAACCACCTCAAAACCCACACACCATCTTCCAGTTTAAACTCCTTCTGTGAAGGATGACATGAAAAAAAAAAGTCATTTGATAAAAATAACCTTTCACAAATGTCCATGGCAAAATGCACAGAAAGTAGTTCTGTCGATTAAAAAATCCCAAACCGAGTCAGTGTAAACCACCGGAATTACATTCTTGCTAGAAGAGTTGTTACAAGAGAAGAGCCAAGACAGTGTAAGACCTTAATACAGATAAAACCTTAAACAAATACTTCAACATCAACATTTCAGGGAGTAATTTCAGTACTGCAATGTGAAGCAAGTCTTATCTGCTCTGCTGGATATAACAGAAAATAATCCAAGAATAATCCAAGTCATACATTTCAGAAGCAAGCACTGCAATCTTTGCTTCTTCTTGCTGCAATAAATGAGACTGAAACAATGCTTGGGCGAAGGAATGCACTGAGGGGACATGTTTGGGTTGCACACTCAGGGCACTACACCTGCAGGCTGTGGGCACTGCTGGAGCACGTCACGGGGATGCAGCAGGACATCACCAGGACACTGCAAGGGTTCTATGGCAGGTGGGCTCATCCCCACACACTGACCCAGCTCGATGGCACTCCCAGCTCAGCCCCACACACACGAGGAGCCAGCTACCCCCAGCCCTTCCCTCCCAAGCCTGCTGCAGGTGTGTGGTGAGCAGAAAACTGATCATAGAGCAGCAAGGTGCCCTGGGGACAAGGCTGCCTGCAGGGCAAACAGGCCCTCAGCAAGGGAGGTGGCAGAGGCCAGTTTGTTATTGATGGGACAGAGCACACATGTGCCTGGCCCCAAGCCATGCCCAGAAAAGCCCTGCACTGGACAGGCACAGACTTCACTCAGCAAAGAGCGTGCCAGCACATTGCCCAGTTTGTCACAATCTACACAACAGGCTGTGCACATAAAGAATATGCAGCACATCGATAAAATCTCATTGAATTTAAAAAAAGGATTACACCACATATATGTAAAAGGACTTAAGAAATCCACCTTAAGAGGAACCTTACAGAACTTGAGGAATGTCCCCTGTAAGAAGGGCATGTAAACAAAGACATCAGTAGA